TCATAGGCCATCACAGCCAATAAAAAGGATTCTAGCTACCACAAAGGTACAAAAGAAAAAATATTGTACTATACATCCTGGAAATGAAATGGTCCTGTCTTCTACAACTAGGTTTGCCAGGGTCTTGGGAACAATGGTGGAGGAAGAGCAGAACTAATAAAATGAGAGGTATGAGGAAAAAGTACACAAGTGTGCAGTTTGGAGCCAATCTTGATTATAATCATCCCAATATTTCTTACAACAGTGACACACTGTAGATGAAGTCAAAAAAATCAAGAAGAGAGGGATTTGTGTTCCAATCTGATAGCCCAAGAGAGTGAACACAGCCCCAGTTTTATTTCTTTCTGAAAGTAACATGATGGTTTCTGTTTGTCAGGAGTCTGAATCGGTCCTTGAAAATAAAAATATAAGGGAGGAGCATCTACAGCCTTTAACTACCCCTTGCCAAGACTGGAAGCAAAATATCTTTCATAATTTCTATGTATTTTATGTAAGTGATATGCTAAATGTCTAATATTTGAAAAATACAGTCATTTTGAAATGTTCAAGTAAGTTTAAAAGCAATACAATTACTGAATTAAAATTTTTGTTCTCGATGCCTGACTGACTTGTACAGTAGAGCATGTGACTTCTGGTCTTGGCATTGTAAGTCTGAATCCCCATGTTGGGTGTAGAGATTACATAAAAATAAAATCTTTAAGTTGTTTAAATTATTAACTGTAATTTTAATATTTACATATAAAAGTATGAGATAAAGGGATTTATGGTTATTTTAAATCAAATATTAACCTCTTTCAGCCCTCCTTGCACATTATAAGTGCATAAAAGACCTAATTGGGGCACCTGGTGGTTTAGCCTTGTTAAGTTACTTCAGCCAGGTCACGCATCTCGCTGTCCGTGAGTTCGGTGCAGCCCTCAGGCTCTTTTCCTTGGCTGATGGCTCAGAGCCTGGAGCCTGTTTCCGATTCTGTGTCTCCCCTCTCTGCCCCCTCCCCCGCTTCATATGCTCTGTCTCTCTCTGCCTAAAAATAAATAAACGCGAAAAAAATTTTAAAAAAAAAAAAAAGATACACCTAATATAATATTATAAATTGATTATGTCAGCCCTATAAGCAGTACAAACATGAGAAATTTCCAAATAAATTAATTTTTACATCACAGGTTTACACTGTGACATTAAACATAAACACCTTTTAACATTTTATATTTTTGGCTTCTTTATTATTCATTTCATACAACACATTAATTTTTTTCTTTTCTGACTCAGTGAATCTTGGATGTCAAAATAAACCTTAATTCAATTTTCAGAGTATTCTCCTCTCAACTAATGCAAATTGTCAATCTGACCTCATTACTTGATAAATAATTTCAGATGCTAAAGATAATCATGTTCACTTCCTTGTTCTAGGAGGCAGACAAACTGGAGACACCTTGATTCCCTTTCCCAATGACATGCCAATAATGACCAATCTACATACTCATGCATTCAGGAGCCTTGATCAGAATCCCAACCATATGTCCATTCCTCCACACCAGACTCCTGACCCCTGCTCCCAGGTCTAGATACCAAGATTTTATTGATGATCATACTTGTAATTTGTGCCGCCAGAGTCTCTGGACCTATAGGAAATAGCTCACTTGACACGTACAGGTATCAAAGAGCTGCACTAGAAATCAGCATCATGATGAAATAAGAACAAGAATTAGGGAAATTTTCTCTCCCAGAAATAATTAAAGTAGTAATAAGTGACTTCTAGAAAGCACAAGCCTAGGAATTCTCTTTTCTCTTTTTCCTCCTCTCCTTCAAGACATGCAGGATATTCTGTCCATATGCATGCCTGTGAAGGAGAAGGATTTTTAAACACTCGAGGTAGTAATACACTATGAAGGCATTTTAGAAGAAAATAGTAATACAAAAGTATCATTGTACTCTCCAGTTGGTGCCCAAATAATTTAAGATCTAAATATAGCAGAAAATCCTCTTCTCAATGGTAAGGTTATCTTTTGGTCCCACAACCCAAGAAATAGTTTCAGATAATATCAATAAAGATATCAGATTATATGCCCAAGACCGAGAGCTTAAAGGACCTCTCTGTCCTCCCTATAGTCATACACTGAGCATAAAGACAACTCCTCAAAAGACATCCATCATGAAGCTAGATGTTCCCATTATCACACCCTCTGCTTAATATAATATTTCTAACTTACTAGTTTCTTTTTGTTTTAAATGAATGTTATATTCAAATATGATGATTCTTGCATCCCAAAATACATTATTAAATTGTTGCAAAATCTTTCTACCATTGAGTCCAAGAAATATAACAGCTGAAATCTTCTTACCTTTTGTTTTCCTTATTTTGTTCTAATTTTTTTCTAATTTTTTCTGCTTTATCATCTTAATTAAAGCTGGTCCTTTTTAATTTTTTTTCACTAGAGAGTCTATTCACCCTGCTAGTCATTTTACTTAAATCTTCTCTATCTACCTTGACTATTTCTCCCATACAGAAACAGAACAATGCACACTCCTGAAGTTCTCAGACCTCTTCTATCCTCCCACCCAGGGTAGCTCCTTGTTCATCTTGAACCAGTCCTCTAAGACAAAACCGCGGTAGCATAAATGCACTTTCTCTCTCCTCTTGTGTGTTCCAGATATATGTTACTTCTGCAGTGACTAAATACAAGAACTGTCTAACTTTCCCCTACCGCGTGCTGCTTCCCATACACCTACATTGAAACTAATATCAATCGGTCTCTAGAATCTGAAACAACCTGCTAATGGCAAAGGTAAGGCCACTCTTGGTTGGGACTGATGGATATATTCTATATCTATAGTACAAACTCTTTGGGACATGAACCAAGAGATTATGTCTTTGCCTCATTCCCTTGAGGTCATGAAATAAACAATTAAAAAATTAATCATTGATGTAATGCTTGAAACCCTGAGTAGCATTATGGGCCCTCTTATACAAAAATTTATATAAATGTATTTTAGATTTATTAATTTAGTCTGGAAGAAAAGGAGAGAGAGTGTGGAGGCAGAGACAGAGAGAGAATACCAAGCAGGCTCATTAATTGTCAGCACAGAGCCCAGGGGCTTGAACGAACGCGAAATCATGACTGTGCCAAAACCAGACATCTCTAGCCAACTGAGCCATCCAGGTGCCCCAAAAATGTTCTATTTTAAAATCACTTCTCCAACCCCCTGATTAGTCCCATATATACCTACAACCATTATAAAAAGTTATGGAATTATAAAACCATCCTTATCAACTATTGAGTGGCTACCATATAGCAGGCGAATCGTCTTCCTCCCTGCCATCCACTCTGACCCTGTTGGAGAAGGGTGAAGATCCCTCTCCTTAGGTCATCAATTGAAAGATAAAGCATAAATATTTAAAAGTTGAATACTTGGGGAAAATAGTCCTTGAAACCTTGTCCTATCTCTCATTACTCTTAACCTCCTCTGCTTTCTTCTATCTAGTCTGGACTTTTGTTTTGTGTTTTGCTTTATGTTTTCCAAAAAATATTACTGACTCTTTCTTTTTTATGGTCTTTTTCCCTCATGTTTCCTGCAATAATCAAATGCTTTTCCCCTTAAGTTTTTGTTCAAATGCAGTTTTTCAGTGATACCCAAAAACATACTGTTTTACCACTGAGCTACTCTACTACCAAATATAGTGTTTAAAGTACTCACATGTTTCAAAATATATTTACTTTATTTATTTATTTCCTGAGAGAGAGAGGCAAAGTGCAGAGTGGGGGGGGGAGGGGCAGAGAGAGAGAGAGAGAGAGAGAGAGGGAGAACCCAAGCAGGCTCCCCACACCATCAGCCCAGAGTCCCAGGCATGAGCTCACGGTCTTGGAGATCATGAGCTGAGCCAAAAGCTTGACGCTTTTACCAACTGAGACTTCCAGGAGCCCCCTCAAATATATAGTTTAATCCTTTACTTATTTCTTTATTTGTACATTGCTTGTTTTCTTCTTGCCAAGAGGAAACCCAGGAAAGCAGAGATCATTCATTGCTTTGTTCACTATCATATCCTAAGTCTAGATGAATGAGCAGTGCATACAAAGTCAGTGCACCATGAGTCTTCATCGAACAGTAAATATGGCCTTCCAAGGAACTGGGAAGAGGAAAGCCAAACTACCAGAACCACGGTGAATTTTCAGCAGAGAGGAGATAGTTCACAAAGGATGATAAGGATGTTTTAAAAGTGGTTCTTGAAACTGCAGTCACAATAAACAAAATACAAACAAACCAAAAAAAAAAAAATGTCCACTCCTCTGAACTCCCTTTTTTTAAAAATTTTTTTCCTTAACGTTTATTTATTATTGAGAGACAGAGAGAGACAGAGCATGAGCATGGGAAGGGCAGAGAGAGGAGGAGACACAGAATCTGAAGCAGACTCCAGGCTCTGAGCTGTCAACACAGAGCCTGACATGGGGCTCGAACTCACAAACTGCGAGATCATGACCTGAGCTGAAGCTGGACACTCAACCAAGTGAGCCACCCGGGCACCCCTGAACTTCCTGTCTTTATCACCTTTATTATAACAGAAATCTTGACCTTTTATTTTCTCTTCTTTTCTTTTCTTTTGTTTTCTTTTCTTTCTTTATTTTTTTTTTTTTTGACATTTTCAAGATCAGGAGCAGCATGGTGAAATTACCAGCAAATGGAAAATATCTCAAGTATTCTCCTTTAGAAAAATTTACACGTAGTTATTCTAAAGTTTTATCATGTTGAACCATTTGGAAAATATTTTTGCATAACAATTGCAAAGCTACACTACTGATATAAGAATAACACATATGGTCTCATAAAAGGTGTATTTAAATTATCCATAAAAGATATTATATGGCTTAATTAGATAAGCAAGTGGAAAACAAAACAGCATGCAGAGTCCCCAAGTTTTATTTCCTTACTTTACTTTTCCATTCACACCCACCCAAATCCAGCCCGTCATTAAAGTCTCTGATGAGAGACTAGACTCTGAGTCTAGTTAAGAAAATAGTTTTTCAAAAGGTAATCTAGATCCCAACACTTTCTTGAGTGCTTCCTTCACATCCTTGTTCCGGAGGCTATAGATGAGGGGGTTGAGCATGGGAATCACTACAGTGTAGAACACCGTGGCCACCTTGTCAGTATCCACACTGTTGCCAGAACTGGGCCGGCAGTAAGTGAAAAGGATTGTTCCATGGAAGACAAGGATGGCGGTGAGGTGGGAGGCACAGGTGGAAAAGGCTTTGTGCCTTCCCTTAGCAGAGTGCATCCTCAGGATGGTGATGAGAATTAGCAAGTAGGAGGTGAGGATGATCACGATGGTGGTGATCTCATTGAAGGTGGCCACGATGTACAGCAGCAGTTCATTCATAGTGACATCAGAGCAAGCAAGGGATAAGAGAGGGGGCAGATCGCAGAAGAAGTGGTCAATCACATTTGATGTGTAGGATGGGATCTCCAGAGCTAAACACAAGTGGATCAGAGAACACACCATCCCACACAGGTAGCAACAAGACACCAGCTCCACACAGAGATTCCGGGACATGGTGACCGTGTACAACAGTGGGTTGCAGATGGCCACGAAGCGGTCATAGGCCATCACAGCCAAAAGGAAGACCTCAGTGATTGCATAGGCACAAAAGAAATAGAATTGCACCATGCATCCCAGGAAGGAGATGGCTTTGCCCTTGTTTAAGATACTGGACAGCACATTTGGGACGATGACAGTGGAGTAGCAAAAGTCCACAAAGGACAAGTGGCTGAGGAAAAAGTACATGGGAGTGTGAAGGTGAGAGCTGACCTGAATCACTGCCATCATGCCCAGGTTGCCCAGCACCGTGACTCCATAGATGAGAAGGAACACAGAGAAGAGGGCGACTCTCAACTCAGGGGCTTCTGCGAATCCGAGGAGAATGAACTCGGTCACACTGGAGCAGTTTCCCGTGCCCATTCCTGCCAGGTGTTGGACTTAGGAAAACAAATGATAAATATTGTCTTTCTTCTAAAAAGGGAGGAAAAAGCAGGCTAACATTAATTTCAGAAAAATATAACATTGATATCAAACAATGTATCTATAAGATATAACAGAAACACAGCGGTCAAGTAATTCAAAAGGTTAAAAGTCTCAGTGGATCCCACTGACCAAAGTTGACTTAGGCATCAGCAGAAACCTTGAATGATTCCAACCCTTATCTATCACTTTATCTATGATTAAGTTCAGTTTCTGGGTGGAATTTAAGATAGATTCAATGATATATTTCAAAGCCATACAGACACTAGCATGTGTTCTCTGAAGAAACTTAATAAGCTCTGTCCAGGAGAGTAACACCTACTCTGATTCTCCAAACACTCTTTCGTTTTTTATTTTTACGTGACTCTATCAGGAACATAAATTGGAAACAAAGTTTTCTCATATTCTATTTTGGAAAAGTGTGATAGAATTTTTGATGTTTGTGGCTCACAAAAACTCGTTAAAATCTGATTATGAAACAAGAGATTTAAAATATACATTGAAAGTGAGAATTGTGCCTATCAAATCAACTATGTGGTTAATTGATTTACTAGCTTAATCAATTATAATAATAACGATCTATGCTAATAAAGATTCAGAGAGATAGATCTCTTGAATACCTTTTTCTGGAAAGTAATGAAGGGGCATATATCCAAGTTTTGACCCTGACAACAATAAAAGCTATCTGATATTTTTTTGATAGATTTTATTCCTCATAAGCTATTAAAAGATATTTAGTTACATTGATAAAGTTGTGAAAAATCATGTCCAAAACTGTATTGCGTTACTGTTTATAATATTTACCATAAAAAATATTTTCAGAAGTGGAGCAAGTGTTAAACCTTGGGGTGTCATATCTAGGACAGAAAATTATCATGCTATGTAAAATCCCATTTATGAGGTGTTTTTTTTTTAAATAAAAAGGATACTGAATAGTACACTCAGCATATACATATAGACGCAAATGAAGATGCACCCATAGAGATATGAATACACATGATAGAGATTGTTTAAGTAGTTGGTTGCAAAAATGATTACATTGTATTCTCTATATAAGGGAGATCTACCACTGAGGCCTTTCCTAAAGGAAAAGGCAAATAAAAATTGAGGGATTCCATTCTCTGCTCCCACTTCTCGACAGCACAAGGACTAGACTCATGACTTCTACACTTATGCGTAATGAAAATTGAGTGAAGAGGTTCTGGAATGGAAGCATATCTTGGTATCTTCTCGGTCTCTTGAGCGAACCTTAAAGACATGGAAACATATCACTTCCCTTAAGTCACGGTTTTTCATTACTTGACCAAGAACAAAAACAAAACAAAGCAAAATACCTGACCTACTTGCCTACTTCTCAAAGAGGATATTCAACCTGGCAAATGTTTTGCTTCATAATCTCCTAGGCTGATAATAAGAAACCATTTCATAACAAACCCAAAACAAATCCAAAAGAATTCCTCTCTTTTTCTGACCACAGAGAGTTCATAAGTCCTGACTCTCGATAACCATCTGGCAGGAACAGAAATGCAAACCTCAGCATTAATATGAAAACTAAGGACGCTCTCAATGGTCATACATGTTAGATGCTGTGATAGAGATCGGTCTGAAAAATGGGTGGTAAGAGATGAGAGAGAGAGAGAGAGAGAGAGAGGTACCATTTGTTTATTTAGCATTCTTTTACACACATCCATGTTTTATGTTACAGAGAAAACGGTTGCAAATTCACCATTAATTGTTTCTGAATACCAAAACACAAAAGCACTCTAAACAGTAACTGCACAGAAATATGGGTCCTGTTAAAACATTCTCCAATTAGAAGAGAGTTGAGTTCAATATATCTTTAAAATAATTGTTTACAGACAAAATATATTCATTTCTATTTTCAAGTAACCAAAACCTAGTTCTTGCTAACAAACCTGAGTGACCTACGTTTTGTCCCTGGTGCTGAAGATATAAGATGTATATAGTAGGCAGACACTTACTTGTACTGTAATTTAAGCTCCTGGGGAATGGGCCCATTAAGCTCCAAAACAATTACTAATCTCTATGGTATAATAAAATATATAAAAATTAAACCAAGGTGATGTATGATATAACACAACTAATAGTTCATCTCTATGGAATATCATCAGGAAATTTATTTTTTAAATTATCCCAAATTGGGAAACAATGGTTTAAAACCACATATGCCTCCTCCCAGAATTTGTGGTGCTACATGATAGAGGTTACATTAAGTGTCGTATGTGTGGGACACAGCTCATATTGCCATAATGACATGCCATGCATATCTCTTAGAAGTTCTTCCTTTCTTATAACATTACAACATCCCCTAGATTCCCGTAGGGCACGGGGACTACAGCTGCATCAAAATTCCTTTAAATAACAAAAAAATAATGACTCCAGTGGTCAGAAAACCATATAATAACTCACACTTGCTATGTGTTGGAACCCATTCTAACTATTATACAAATATTCACTTACTTTAGCTTCCTAGTAACCAGCCAGGAGAGCAATTCCAGTTTTTATGCTTATCTTACAGGCGGTTGAAACTTGGACACATTCAAAATAAATGATCAATGAAAGAAATTGAGGCCCATCTGGTTTTCCACCCATATGAATGCATGGAAAAAATAAATAAATCCAGAGAGATTTCTGAGACTGAATTTTTTTTTCTAATGCATGTGCAATAGTGGACGTCATCAAATGGGACCCCTCAGATATCTTTCCCAGATGTGTTCTTCTGACTTTAAAAGATCAATCTAAGCCACAGTTTTCCATTCGTCTCTGTGTATCACTGGCTGTGCACATAAATTTGTAAAGGTATATGTGGTAAAATGTAATTTCAAGGAAATAAATTGGTATTGTCTCAACTACCATATAATATGATTATATTATATAAAATTGATGTGCCAGAGACGGCACCCAAGGCTGAGGAGACATTCCATCCGGTTCCCCATCTCCATCATTCTATGTAAGTGATATATTACATTGTTTTTCATATGTTAAACCAACTTCGCATTTCTGAGATAAATCTCCCTTGGCGTGGCTCATAAGCCTTTTATATGTTTTAGTGCATCTATTTTATCTTATTATTGGATACAAGGATTTGTTGAGAATTCTTGGGTTTGTATCCATGAGGGATTTTGGTTTCTGTTTTCCTCTGTGTCTTGTCTTTGTTTGGCTTTGGTATCAGGGTAATACTGATATAACTGCATGAATTGGAAAAAGGATCACGGTCTCCATCTCCTAAATAGTGTAACTCACAATTGGTACCGTTGCTTATGTAGTTATTTAGTAAAAGTAACTGGTGAAGCCATCTGTGTAACAACCAGTGTTATTGCCTACATAGATATTTAGTAACAGTAATTGTCTGGATATTGATGGAAGGAGTGTGAGAATATTTTCACTACAAATTGAATTTATTGTCACATATCTATTCAGATTTTCTACTTCTTTGTCAGCTTGGGAAAATTTATCTTTTTCAAATCTGTCTGTATCATCTAAGTTGACTAAATTGTTGGCATAAAATTTTTGCAAGATTACTATCCTTACTAATTGTACTAATTTGTTTCTGGTTTCCTTTTCTCCTAGTAATTCTAGCTAAAATTTTGTCAATGGTAGTAATCTTTTCACAGTGCAAACTCAATGATCTCTACTTTAATTTTTCTACTTTATTGACTGATAATCTGGTCTTTATTATAACCTTCCTTGTTCTTTTTTCTTTTTCTTTTCTTTTTTTTTTTTTTTTTGATTCTTAATGTGGAAGCTAACATTCTAATTTTGAGAGTTTTCTTCATTTCTAACACAGTTATTTAAAGACATATATTTCCCTCTAAACACTTAGAAGCATCTATTAAATTTCATAGGTTAGTTTTCATTTTCATCATTGACTCCAATAAAGAACAATATAACATTTCTGCTACTTTTCTACAAGCGTTCCAGGTAAGTTCAAATCAAGTGACAAGGTGTAAAAGAAGGCAGTTTCATATACGTGAATATATGCAAATATATAAGATAGTTTGGGTCATAATTATATAGTTCTATTTCTGAAATAAGTTGACTTTAATTAATTACTGTAAGTTTAAGATCACAGAACCATTCCAAATTATTTCATGAACCAATATATGGTTATTATCTAGTGTTTATTTTACCCTCAACAAACACAGCTATTATTTTTTCTCATAATAATTTTCTGGACTAATTTGGGATTTACCAATGACAAAGAGTACCAAACAAAGGATACGTAAGTAATTCAAGCAAAATTAATGACAGAAGAAAGATAAATATGATGTCATAAGATTTTTGAAAATTAGACACCTTTATGAGGCCATCTTATAATAAATGTTACTACTACCAGAGAAAAGCTAATCTTTCCTAATAGACACAATTATCTAGGTTTGATTAATTACTTGTTAAGATTATAATTTACAAATGACAATTTAAAACAACATTTAAGGAAAATAAATGTTTAGGGAGCCTAAAACATAGAATGTGAATAAATTTGTTTCGTTTTTGTTCTCACTATTCTAGGAAACACGCTAGTATTTCTAAACTTCTTGTAATATTTGCACCCTCCACACGGGAGCTCTTTTTGAAGGAATTGAGAATAATAAGTGTATCTTATGCAAATTCTCATTCCTTCCAGCACCTAACAAGACACCTTGAATGCATATGACATAAAACAGTAGCTCACAATAGTGCTGAATCATTGGCTTTATTATTCATGCTCACCTCTCGAATGTTGTTCCTGTTCTTTACTCCTGAATACACCTTGTGTCTTTCTCTTCTGTGTCTTTTCAAAACCTGCCCATCCTTCAAGGTCAAGCAAAGGATGCACGCAATTATGAAATAGTCTCTTTGATATCCACATATGATTTTGACATGTCTCCTGACCAAACATTATGATATTTACTAATACTACTGGCTTTTGAGGTTTTTGA